GTTCAAATCTTTTGACGAAAGCATAATTTGTCGTTCCAACTAGCCAACAGCTCTCGACCTCATCCTGTGGTTTGTGTCGCAAATTGCATAACAACAGGTGCGAAATCGTATGATTTAGATGGTCGTGATTTTGGAGCGAAAAACAACAGACGCTGGGGTCTAGTGTTGCACTTTTCACGAATAGCGTCTAATGTGCCTCAGTCGAATAATCATGCCCGTTTAGAATTAAGTAGTTTCGTCGTTATAGCACTCTGACTCATCGAGAATCGTAGGATAAAAATACTATCTGTCATTAGCTCCACTGCTGTAATATACCCTCCCCGAGTTTCTCCAGCCGGATGGCGTAAAAACCTTGAAAATATAAGACGGTCACCAAGACCATTCAGCATCGATCGGGAACTAGAAAAGAACCGTTCCGCACCCAAAGAGAAAAAACAAAGGAACCCGTTTCACACAATTTGGGGGTGAAACTTCTTTCATCAGCGTGCCCAAGTTCCAGATAAAATAACATAAATAGCATAAAAAGCATAAATAAAGTAGCATAAAATAGCATTTTGGCCGCTGTCAGCTTTATCAGTTATGGGAAAAGTAAAACGAGTAAAAATGGCAACGTCTTAAAACGAATGTTCATTTCGGAACGAGGTTCAACCCACTGACAGCCAGATTCTGAGATTCGCTGGATAAATTCTGGCAGAGGGTTAGCTTTAAGATACCGCCGGATAACTTGGGGCAGCAAGAAGTTGAAATACTGTCATACTTGCTTATCATACTGAACAAAGAAACTAACTTTACTCAAGGACACTTTGTCTCTACTGGGGTACACCGAACTACTTATAATGGAAATCACAAATGCAGGGAAGAGGCACCTCAAATATGACTAGTAAATCCGAATCCCCACATTGTGTCACACAAGACAGCTTGTACAATGTTTGAAGATAAGACGCATTTCAGGCGTAAATGTGAACAACGGTACTCACGCATTTCATCACGTTCTAAATTTGGGCAAGTTACCGATAGCAAATTTTGATCAAACTATGATACGCTTTTCTGATTATTCGTCACTGGTTACCAAAGGTATTTAGCGCTATTGTGAACCCATTTGTTATTAGTGGTTCGTAGCACACGACTAACGTTAACTTAGTATCTGCGTAAGCATTAACAATGCATCATGACATTCTTACCGGGCATTTGGGTCTACTGCGGTTTTCTTAACGTTTTCTTCCATTTAAGTTGCCTAAAGAAAAATGTCCCACGATGCTTCCACACAGTGTATTGTAAGATCAGCCCGCACATGGAAAAAATATGGTATGCTTGTTTTCTATAGAGGAGAATGTCGGTAGCTCAGGTGGCGTAGATGGTCGCTGGCTTGTTCGCTGAGCTGGGCAGAGCTGGACAGCCGCGTTGTCAAGAGGCATGACCCCCTGTCCTTGATATCTATACACGAAGACCAAGAAGGCCAAAAATTCAATCTGGAAAACGCGAAAATTTTGGCGTACGGAGACACGCGACACGGAAGAGAATTTCTGGAAGCATGGTACTCTGCGGCAGGTTCAATCAACCGGTGCATCAAACTGGATCCAATTTACGGATCTCTACGTGCGAGAGATCAACATCGCAACCGGAACACTCAAGGAGGACCAAATAATTGAGTAACAAACGAAGAAACAAGGAACTCCTCGGAATCAAAACAATAAAGGTCACAACGGAGCTCGGAAGGACAAAGGTGACTCCAACACCGACCAGACTACGACGGCGAGGGATGCCAAGTTCCAAGGTCACGTGGGCATCGGCGAATGAAGACACGGGATAAAAGAACAACCAATGGAACCGCCCGACAGAATAACTAATCACGGTCAAAGGTCATCCCCGGCTACCAGCACGTATATTTTATCATTTATTTTTGAAGAGCATGGTCACAAACATAAAAAGTGAATGCAAGCGATGAATGCGAAAGAGTAACAGGAGAATATGGGAGAAAAGAGAGAAACGTCTCATTCGAAATCATGCCAAGGACAGTGCCAGTCTGATGAGGTGAATCCCAAAGTATGTAAAGATTTTGGTGTGGGAACAGGCGTCTAAAGACTAACAACCGAAGAAAGGACAAACAATGGTGAATGCTCTTCAAGGCGCAGTATGTGCTAGCACAGTCAAGACTCGCACATCAGGCACAAAGTGACCGTCATACTGGGTCTGGGGTGAGATTAAATGGCAAAACCTTCAGCTCCATGTGCCACGCACAAAAGTGTCATAAGTACGCAGGGAGCCCACAATGGCAAGCAAACACAAGTCACTGACTGTGACCTTAGGAAGTCCCAGTCCAATAACAGCCTTAGCGGATTGAGGAAAGCAGATCCCTCGATAAGAGATGATCATCGGTTGGTGAACCAAAAAGTCAATATCACAACCTGATGGCATGTAGGGCTGAGATCATAGCGAGGGAATGTTCATCAGCACCATACCTCTGCTTCTTCTCATTCCACACTATCACTCCACGTTCCGTCCCTCGCCTAGTTATCTGGCACAAGAATGAACTTGGGCTATGAACCATCAGTTGCTTTGCAGCCCCACGGAGAGCATGATTTCAGGAGGTCCGGATGACAAGTTCCTTTGTTCAGCCTCAGAAAGGGACATAAAAATCATCAACAGAATGTTTAACAGATAAATTGTGGCTTGTTTTCTAGCGTTTCTGGACGGAGGGTACCTTTATTACCTGGTCAGAGAATTTGAATTCAAATGAAAATATGAATGAACATCTATGTCAAGCATTTGAGAATCGTAATCCCGTTCTTGAGAACCAACTTGTACGTTTTACATTACACACAGAGTTACTACTTCTCATACAAATCGTGACTCAAGTAGGTCTTTATTCCACCTCATCCTTAAGGAAATGAGCTGTGCTTTTCTCAGAATTTAGCTCTCGTAAGTAGACGAGAGTTTAGCAATTAGATCCAAATACCTTCGACCCAAACTACATTCCTATGCCATGAAACCGACTGAGATGTGACACAATGACGGAAAAAGCTTATTATATACCGTCTCTGGACATGTTCCTTGCAGTATCCTTTCATCAAGGAGCCGCTTGGCTATGGGTGTCTCATTATAACAGATATAAGTTCCCCCTCAGGCAAAAGTTGCTCAAAATATACTTCCTTCGCACCGGTTATTGCACTCGTACAGAAGGTCACATTGAAGGACCGTTTGAAAGTTTGTGCCTGGTGGATTAGCTTAGGTGTCATTGAAAAGACTGTTAGCCTACTTTAAGCAACTTAATTACAGCAAACTGACGGTTACTCTACCCACGGTGCCGAATTTCTAGCTACTCTCCGTTCCATTCGCTCTCCTTTAGTAACACATTTCAAGAATCGCGATATACAACATGTTTGGTGTATGACTACAGTCTTTGACCGTATGGGAATAATAGAATCGTTTCTGAATAAATTCCAGGATAAGGTAAACAAAGAACGTCATCTTTGTGTACGATCGCTACCAGATCATTAGTAGGTGACACATCATTGCATATGTTATGCACACATCTCTTAGAACAATGGAAAATGGAGCAGCTGTCCATTCACTCAGCAATTTTAAACTTCCTGAAGCAGTGTGTAAACAACTGGGCCCTCGGTAGGCACAACACGAAACACCACATGTATTTTGTCAGCGATACTGTTTCATCTAGTTTGTACGGTTCAGCACATCGTTTGCGATGGACCGCTACAGCGTGTTCTGAAAACTCACT